AGAATAAGTTTAGATTTGTTCGAATTGGTCATCTTTGGCTCGAATTATGGCCTTCAAAAGGCAAATGAAACCATCACACGCTGCCCGAATGTTGCTCTGCGGAATTTTAAGCCCATTCCCGGCGAAGCGCTTGCTTTCGAAATTATACTCCAGACACAATGGGCTTCACGATTAACTTTTTTTCTGGATAATTCTCACCAAAATGCAGTCTGAAGTTGGTTGCAGTGTAGTTTTCATTATATCTTGGATGGGGCTAATCCAAAGGTAAATAATAGTCATTGTTTTGGTGATATTGCTAATTCAGAGATTATATGACACTAGAGAGTATATGTCATTACTAGTAATGCTGAAAATGACACATATTGCTATCAAATTATTGTTGGGAAAGAACACCTTCTCCAGGTCGATCGCCAAGTTCATTTATCAGATTAGAGTAGACATTTTATGGAAGATCTGCATTGTTCCCAATTCAAATGTAGCTCTCCCAATACAAAGTTTCATACATAACCCCTTCTTCTTCCTATTGTGTCGCACAAAACAAGCCAGCCACCCGGCTGCCTGCCTCATCTTCATAAATTCCATATGGAAATTATTTCGAACATTTAAAATGTCAAATATTTTTTGCATTAAATAAATCATTTTTATAACAGCGAAACAACATTAAAACATTCATGTTAAGATAAAAAGAAGCCACAACAACAACAACAAGAAACAGTGAACAAAACGAGAATTTATTACAATTCTACCTGATCGATAACATTCTGGCAATTTGGACCTGAATAACTGCTGAGACAAGCACTTTGTTGTTGCTGTTGTATGGTTTTGCAAATGTCATTAACATGTCAACTGGCCGACGAGACCAATAAAAAAAGTGACCATTCGCCTGGCAGCCACTTAAAGGCCACTCAACAACACTGAGAAGACAGGCGGACAGACCAACGGACCACCTAAGTGCGTTGGAGAGAAAAAAAAAAAAGAGGTGCGATCATCGAATGTAAATCTCCGAAATCCCTGTCTATTACCACCCGACTGATCTGAAGTTCATTCATGTCATTGACGGCCAATCAACGGCGCGGTGGTTATAATTCGGAGTAGAAAGTGGAAAGAACTTCGTCAGCCTTGCCCATTTAATTGTCGTTGTTGTTGTTGGTGCCTCTCTCCCTCCCTCGTCGCTAATTAGAAAACGAAATGAAAGGAATCTTTAGTTTGTTTCCGGCCTCAGAGTTTATAATGACACTCTAAAGTGAGTGAGAGTTCCCGTGAGTGACTGACTGGCTTATTCACTTAATGGCAGGCACACAGGTAGGTTGGGTTGTGTCTTTTCTCTTCGGCGAGTTATTAATTGCGGCTGATCACACCCAGACTATGGACAAGCTGTCCATCGGACTAAGGCGTTTTTAAGTGATCATCTTTTGGTGATCAGGAGAATGCAATTCAAATGACTTTATAATACTTTATGGCATTGTCAATACGATGTTGTTGCTGTTGTTGTAATACCTTGATATGGCTAATAGGAATGTGAACATGGCTTAGACATTTTTGTTACTTGGAGCGAGGAATTTTAAAAGTGCGAAAACGGCAAAGATCTATTGGAAAATTTTCAAAAAAATGCTTGAATTCTTTTTTTGAATTAATAGTACAGTCCATATAATTTAATCTTGTCTTCCAATACGTCAATTGAATCGATGGCTCGTCTGTATAGACATAAGCTTTATCATAGCTCCATAAAATAGTTAAATTGCACCATATACAGGATGAGACCAAAAAACTGCAACAAAGTCAAACGCCATAATCTTTACATTTTTTTTAAATTTTATTGAATGAAAACAAAAAATGTCGGAAATAGCATCAAATTTTAGAAAAAGTTTATATTTGTTCGAATTGGTCACCTTTGGCACGAATTATGGCCTTCCAACGGCCAATGAAACCGTCACACGCTGTCCGAATGTTGCTCTGCGGTATTTTGGTCCATTCCTGGCGAAGCGCTTGCTTGAGGTGATCGACCCTTTGCAACCATGCTTTCCAAAATACTCCAAACACAATAGTCCAACGGATTGGTATTCGGAGATTTTTGTGGTCATTTTCCGCTGGAAATGAAGCGAGGAACCTCATTTTGTAAACATTCGCGCCACGTGCTGAGTGCAATGGTGCTGAGTTCTGTTTGAATGTCCAAGGTCTGTGGTCAAAATGTTTGCGTGTCCAAGGCTTTAATACACCCTCCAGAGTACTTTCGGGATAATATTCCATATTTATTCTGATGCCAAGGTCGATTAATACAAGCGGAGAGCGACCATCGGCTGTTATGGCGGCCCACACCATCACCATGGCCGGCGCTTAAGTTTAGCTGACCTCTGTGGCAAGTCAACACGATCATTTTGTTCGTTTACAAACTGCTGGACAACAAATGTTTTCTCATCGGAGAAAACCAAGCTCGGCAGTTCACCATTTTCGGCCAAACGAAGCAACTTTTTATTTCTTTTAAGTCTATTTTCTTTCTGTTGCGGTGTAAGTTCTTGCACTTTTAGGAATTTCGATGGCTTTACCTTGAACTCATTTTTCAATATTTGCCGAATGGAATATAGCGATATGTTCAGCTCACGAGCCATTTTTCAGCCACTGCGACGCGGGTTTCGATCAAGTCCCTTCTTTACTTTTCGAACCATTTCTGCTGATTTGACGTAGAGCGTCAAAATTTAACAGAACAATTTTTATTATGTCTTGGATGGATGGTATTGAAAATGAGATATACCGGTCCACGCTTTGGTATAGCCCCCATATAATGGTACCTCTCGATATTCCGTATTTTGAAACATTTTTTTCCATATTTTCCCAAGGATTTGTCTAAAATTGGTATTTGTTGGACATAATGGGTTCTAGCTCCGGTAACAAAACATTGTATGTATAGGTCCACGTTTTGGTATATCTCCCATATAACGGTACCTCCCGATCCGGTATTTTGATGATTTTTGCCAAATTTCCCCACGAATATGTCTACAAATTGGTATTTGTGGGTTATAATGGGTTCTAATGCTTCCATTACCCAAAGGAGGAGGGAATTCAAAGTTCGGCACGGCCGAACTTAATGATTATACCCTACAACACTATGTGTTGGGGGTATTATAAGTTTGATTGGGCCAAAAATTATGTAACACCACGAAATATTGGTTTCCCACAAAGGAAAGTATATATGGATCTTCCTATCTCGCCGAGCTGAGTCGATCTAGCTATGTATGTCCGTCCGTCCGTCTGTCCGTCTGTCCATGTTAATTTGTAATCACTCTACAGGTCGCAATTATGGCCCGATCTTCACGAAATTTAGAATGGAGGTGGGGGTAGGGCCAGAATAGAACCCTATTTCTTTTGGAAATGATAGCATAATATTTAGGGGTTGAAATGGACCAAAAACTGAAAAATTTAATGATTTTGCAGCTGATCTACAGGTCGTAATTATAGACCAATCGAAGCGGAAGTTAGCATGGAGCTAGATCTTAGGGCTGGACAGAAGCCTTCCAATTTTGATGGTCATCGAGTAATATTTAGAAATAGACCATAGCATTTGTGATAAATAAAAGTCAAATTTTTCATTAAACCGCGAATATTTTTAATCCCTGCGAAATCAGAAATAGACGAACAGGTCAACTCTGACCGTTGCGTAGATGCCGATAGTAAATACATCGGATGTATATAGCGAAATATATACAATCTATATATAGAAAGGAAGGGGATGTTAGCTAGAATGCTTATATCTCAAGAATGGCTAGACCGTGACATTTTTTTATTTTTTCATATTTTTTATCGCATGCGATTTTTTCAATTTGACTTTTAATATTGAAGTGTATATTTTTTAATATTTTTCATTTTACAACACAGGTTGGGGTTATTATATACAGATTGCAATTATCCTCACGAAAAAGGTAGGGTTAGGCTCAGAATGTCTAGGCTTATTGTTTTCAAAGATGTCCGCAATGTATTTAGGGGTTGAAATGGACCAAAAATGCCGATTTCGTTGATGAATAAACCCAAATATCGTAGACAAGCTAATCATATAGATGAGTTTAAATTTGGCGATACAGAGAGGCCTCTTGCTTTTGGAGTTGATCGCAAAATATTTAGGGGTTCAAATGAACCAAAAAAAAATTCTGCTCACACAATTGAAGAGAGTTAAGGACAGGGAAGAATTCTAGCATTTTGGATAACCATTGGTATATGTATGTGAAAAATGGTCCACAACAACTAACAGTAGGATGGAGTGAGTAAATATTGGGAATATGTCCGTGGTCAAAACGCTAAGGGTAATATCTGGGCAGTGCTCCATGACAGAATTTCAAAAGCAAAATATTCCAAAATGGATTCGGACATAAAGCGGCTTCTAAAATATTGTAGTGTTGTAGGGTATCACATGGTCGGCCCCGCACGACTATAGCCTTTGCTTACTTGTTTAAAATTGTTCTTTAGTAATTTCTTCCTAGAATGCATTTCCAAAAAACACCTAACTTCGACTCAAATGTTAAATTGAACTGATTGATGACTTCCCAACCCTGACATTTTGCAAATACCTATTTTAATTGTCGGTGTTTGTTGCAACTATGTAATTCAAGTTCTCTCTCTCTCTCTCAATTTTTTGTTGTTGTTTGTACTTTTTCTTCTCATCTCGAAATAACAATTACACCCCGAAAGAGTTAATCAATTTAATTGATACTCTCTCTGACAATCTGATATCAAAATTGCAGCAATTCATTTTTGATCTAATGCAGGAGAAGGCGGGGGGGGGGGGGGGATCTTGATTCTGAGAGCACACAATTTGAGTGCAAGGTGTTGATAAAAACAAAAAAAATATTTAGACTCCTCATTGTCTGTCTGTGTTTGTTTGTCTTAACAACTCCAAACAAATCGTTGTAACTTGGTTGGATGTTGGGGTGTGTTTGGTGGAGATCAATGTAAATCAAAATGAAAAAACAAATCTCTTGGAGGTGTGTGTGTGCAATGTTGTTGCTCATGTAAGGTGGGCGTTTGGTGCGTAATGCAACAAGTTTGTTATGTGACAATAACAACAACTGCAACAACGATTAATAATAAACAATGTGCAAAGCAACAACAACAAAAAAGTGCATTAGTTGAGATCAATGTTTACCAACATCATCTCAAGCAACTGGTGGCAATGTTGTTCCAAATAGTTCGACGCAGCTCCATTAGAATTCCAATTGTATGAAGAAAAAGAAGAAGAAGAACAAATTGTGTGTTTATTTAAAGTATCCATTGCCGTGGTTGTTGTTGTTTTTGTTTTGGTTGCTGAACGAACGCGTGCTTTGGGTTATTAGTCATACACCATCACCAGCACCACTACCAACGGCAGCAGCAACAACAGCGACAGCAGAGGCAACCAGCCAGCCAGCCAGCAAAAAGGCGGCAGCCAAGAAGACTCGTAGTTCTGTTATTGTTTTAGTTGTTATTGTTGTTGATTCGTTTTCCATGCCTTCGTTGTTGTTGGTGGTGTTGTTGTCCCACAACAACACCGAGTACAACAAACTTTTTTAGCTTACCGCACATACAGCAGAATGAGTGTTTGACACTTGTGATCATACCCTGAACGCGTTAATACGGGCAAAATAAAAATAAAGAAACACAGAGAAAAAAAAAAAAGAAAAACAAAAATAACAACACAACGTCCAAACACCATTACACCGCCTTCGCCGCCAGCGGGAAGAATGTTTCAAACCGACCAAAAGTCGTCGTTGACCAAGAAGTGATCTATAAAAGGAAAGTGATTAGGAAATTGAATATTTAAAAATTAATTAATTTAAAAAAAAACAAATTAAAAAATACATAATACATTTTCAACAAAATAAAAACGATCCAACCAACCAACAAACCCTTCACACATCTAACGACCATTTGAAACAGAATTAGGAAGTGCAGTTTATTCATTCTGCGACCTGTTGGAAGTGAAATGATTGGAAAATTGTATATTAAATAAATAAATTAATTTATATATGAATATTGAAAAATAATAACAATTATAAAATAATAAAAAATAATAATAACAATTAAAAAAAATAAGAAATATATTCAAAGGGCAGCTCAATCCGGCCATCCAACCAATCATAAAATTTTAAGTTCAGTTTAAAAATAAAAAAAAAATACAATTATTTATTTTATAAATAGAAATTATTAAAAAAAAAAGAAAAACATGTAACCCTTGAAACAACCAATGAACTTTCGAAAAAAAATTTTAAGTGAAATTGAATATAAAAATAAGAAAAAAAAAAATATTGAAAATCGTTTAAAAAATATGAAAAAAGTTAGAAATATTTCAACCGCATTATTTGAAAATTAAATATAAGAGGCAGTTTATTATGTCTGCTATCTGTAGGAAAAGGCAAGATAAGGAGATAAATTTATTAAAAAATTAAAATTTATATACAAATTTTGAAAAAATACTGTGATCTGTGGGAAAAAGGAAAGATAAAGAAAAAAAATTAAAAAAAAATAATTAAAACATATAACATTATAAAAAAAAATTAATAAACATTAAGTTAATGATTTAAACAAAATTACAATTTATAAAAAAATAAAAAAAATTCAATGGAAAAAGTCAGCCCGCCCAAAAAACTGAATTTTGAAACATAATAAAACAATATTTTAAAATTTATTCATAATTTAAAATTATAAAACTTAAAATAGTGAAAATTTTTTTAAAAAAATATTTAAAAAATATAACATTATAAAAAAATTAATAAAAATATAAAGTTAATGATTTAAACAAAATTAAAAATCATACATAAAAAAAAAAAATTAATGGAAAAAAGTAAGCCCACCCAAAAAAACTGAATTTTGAAACATAATTTATTTATAAAAAAATACAATATTTTAAAATTTATTCATAATTAAAAATTTATTAAAACTTATAATAGTGAAAAATAAAATACCAAAAAAAAAACAAATATTCCGACGGTAAAACAATGATTCAGTCAACTTGCTAAGACTTCAAACAACCAACGATTATTATCAAATAAAAATTTGAAGTGCAGATAATTTTGCCTGGGATCCGTAGGAAGAACGGAAGTGCAATAAAACAATTTTAAAATAAAAATAATAATAAAATAAATAAATAAAAAAACAAAACATAACAACAACTTGCAACCACCAATACCAAAGCAATCAAAGTAAGTATGAAATGAAAGTGAATGTAATTGTTAAGAGAAAAATTAAGAAAAAAAAACACCAAAATATTATTTCAAATAATAAGCTTGGCAATTTTCGAAACAATAGCATTTTACACAAAATATTATGAAAAAACACAACAACTAACGATTAAAAGTAATTTATCTTAAATGCCAAAATAAATAATTAACAAAAACAACAACAATAGCAAAAAACCAAACTGCAAACGGTACGACACAACTGTTGTTAAATTGAAAAACAAAATTGAAAATGAAACGGAACACCTTTAAATTAAAATATAGCATTCTAACTGTGATTAAACTTTAGATAGAATAATATATATTTTCAAAACACTGTTTACGGAAATATATCAAATATACAGGGTGACATAAAAAACTGCAACAAAGTCAAACTGCATATTTATTGAATGAATGCAAAAACTGTCGGAAATAGCATTAAATTTTGGAATAAGTTTGCATTTGTTCGAATTATGGCCTTCAAACCGCCAATCCACACGCTGCCCGAATGTTGCTCTGCGGTATTTTGGCCCATTCCCGGGGAAGCGCTTACTTGAGGTGATCGACACTTTGGTATTTTTTAGTGCCAACCTTGCTTTCCAAAATGCTCCAGACACTATAGTTCAACGGATAGGTATATGGAGATTTTGGTGGCCATTGTGCGCTGGAAATGAAGCGAGGAACCGCAATTTGCTGAGTGTGATGGTGCTGAGTCCTGTTGGAATGTTCAGGCTTCAATACACCCGCCAGAATATTTTCGTCGATAGTAGTCGGCATTTATTCTGATGCCACGGTCGATAAATACGAGAGGAGAGCTACCATCGGCTGTTATGGCGGCCCACACCATGGCCGGCGCATGAGTTCTGGTGGCCAACCGAAGGTGCATATTTTCAGCTGACCTCTTTGGCAAGTATACACGATCATTTTGTTTGTTTACAAACTGCTGGACAACGAATGTTTTCTCATCGGAGAAAACCAAATTCGGCAGTTCACCACTTTCGGCCTAGCGAAGCAACTCCTTAGCTCTTTTGACCCTCCTTTCTTTCTTTTGCGATGTAAGTTCGTGCAATTTTTGGAATTTCAATGGCTTTACACCGAGATCATTTTGCAATATTTGCCGAATGGAATATTGCGATATGTTCAGCTCAAGAACCATTTTTCGGCCATTGCGACGCGGGTTTCAATTAAGTCGCTTGTTTACTTTTCGAACCATTTCTGCCGAGGTTGCTGTTTTCTTCCATCCACTTCCTTGACGTTGGGCTACGCTACCAGTATCACGGTATGAGACACCAAAGATATATTCACATTTAAATGCTGGAGTGCTCTAACGATAGCCACTTGTGATTTTCCAGCCGAATATAAAGAATTCACACTGCCACGCTTGAATTCCATCACGAATAAGTTTTTTTCTGGAAAATTCTTACCAAAAGGCTTTTGTACACTTGTTAACAATATAATGAGCTGTCACTGGAATAATTTTAACAGCTAAGAAATGGCTTAGAAAAGACAGCACTCTGAAGTTGGTTGCAGTTTTTTTCATCTCACCCTGTATATCTACCTTATTTACCCCAGATTTTGTGTTAGTAAAAATATTGGAATGTATGCAGTTTAGAAAGCACTCTTAATCCTTTGTGGGGAAGGTACCAGAAGATATGGGCCAATATATTCCATCTTCACACCAGATCTTGAGTTGATAGAAATGTTAAGATGTACCAACTTTGAAAGTAATCTGATGCTTATTTCGCGTTTTATGAGCTTTATGGTTATTCAAAATTTTGAGCCTTTGTTTGGGGGGTACCAGAAGGAGTGCACCCATATATTCCATCTTCACACCAGATCTTGAGTTGATAGAAATTTTGAGATATGTGAAATTTGAAAATATTCGGAATAATTAATCACATTTTATAAGAGTTATAATTATTCGAAAGGTTTACCCTTTGTGGTGGAGGTATTTGATGAAGTGGACCGATATTGTCCATTTTCACACCTAGCACAAATGGAATAATTCGAAATACAATTGGAATCATTCGAATTACAAATGTAATAATTCGAAATACAATTGGAATTATTCAAATTACATTTAAAATCCCTCGAATTTGAAAATGAAATGTTGCAAATTAAATAAAAAATTATTCGAATTACAACTAAAAAAGGTGTAGCACTAGACTTGGATTGAGTATATATATATATTTATAATTTTAAATAATCGTAAATAAGAACTTTACCGGTTTTTTCGAACTTCGTGGATTTTAATATGTAGTATGTTCGGTGGTTCCACTACTTCTGGAACCTCTCCGAAAAAGTTCAATATAGTGGGAAAAAAACTTCTAAAATCGATAGAACTATAATTATACGAATAATACTGAATGGTATTGCGAACTGTGCTTAAAGGCAATAAACAGTTTGTTTTTGGGTGAACGGATAAACCTGGAATTTTGAAATTTTGTATTGGGGTCCCTGTTGATGGTAAGTTTGTGATAGTTTTGTAAATATGTACTACAAGTGCACGAAAAGTATTAAATGGTGATATATTTGGTACAATGTGGTATTGAAATCTGAAATTTATTGGATGTTAGGATAGGTCTGGAATACCAAAATTGAAAAATTGATATCTGGCATTGAGATATGGAGGAGGTTTTCGATATGTGTACTATCATTTTATGAAAGGTACTAAATAGTACTAAATTTAGAATTTGCTTAGGGGAAAGGCTCTGTTGATATCTGGCATTGAGGTTTTGGAAATGTGTCCTATATTTGTACGAAAAGTACTAAATGGTACAAAATTTGGTATTGAGTGCAAGGATAGGGCTAGAATCGTAAAATCTAATAAATTTTTGTCTCTGTTGATATCTGGCATTGAGTTCATATCTTTGGGGGTTTTGTGTACCCTAATTGTACGAAAAGTACTGAATCGTACAATATTTGGTATTGGGTACCATAATTGATCGGAAAGTTCTAAGAGGTACTTAGTTGGGTATTGGCTTAGAGTTGAAATCCCGAAATTTGATATTGAGGTACTGTTGCTAGTTTTTATACCCTCCACCATACATATGAAGGGTATATTGGGTTCATCATTCCGTTTGAAACTCATCATAAGATAGGGAGCTAAAATTTTGCACAGATCTGTCTTTTGTCTGCAGGCAGGTCAAGTTCGAAGATGGGCTATATCGGTCAACGATATCGCATAGCCCCCGTATAACGATACCCCCCGAACGGATTTGTATGAAAATCCACACAAGGAGTGTGAGTACTCTGTCCCCTGGAAGAGAATTATCCATATAGGTCCACGATATCGTATAGCCCCCATATAACGGACCCCCCTATATTCGGTATTTTGATGATGTTAGCCATAGTTTTCAATGAAATTGTCTGAAGATTCTCACAAGAAGTTCCTTGTGAGTACTTTATCCCCTAGGAGAGACTGACATACATCCCCTACATAACGGTTCCTCCCGATATTCGGTATTTTGATGATTTTTGCGATGTTATTCACCGGAATTGTTCCAAATGTTGTATATAAAGTTCGGAACAGTTACTACAGCCTATGACATAAATTACTTAATTTCCCATAATCCGGTCTACATTTGAGCGGTATTTTCCGATGGATTTTTTTTTAATTTTTTAAGTTTCTTAAAAATGATGGAGGGTATAAAAAGTTCGGCCCGCCCGAACTTAGCTACTTTTTACTTGTTTATATTTGTACATTTTGGTATTTTTTTTAGTAGTGAAATTATTTATTTTTTTGTTGTTGTTGCCTCTATTGATTAAACAATTCAACCGTCTACAACCTTAAAATCTCGTTCCCTCTTCACGTTCATACAAGGCGAGGAGTGCACCTTCCCATTTATTGTCAAATCAAATTTACCCTTTCCCTAGAAATTGATTTAATTTAAAATTTAATTTAACATTTATTTGAATGATATTTGATTGAAATTAGACACAATTTTGTAAAAAATTAAAAATTATTTTAATTTATTTCGGAATTAATTTCTTCTACTTTCTTCCAATTTCTAATTAGAAATGTGTAACGATCGTGTAACGTTTTTTTTTTTTTTCCAGAGATCGCGAGAAGAAAAAACCAAAACAAAATTAAATATTTATAAAACAACCGCCGACTGCCGGCCACTCCCCGTCAACTCGTGCGCTTTGACGTTTTGAAAAGTACAACTCATCATCGTCATCACTAGCGTCGTTGACGTCGTCGCGGTCGTCGTAATGAGTCATTGGGGTTTTTTCCTGCCTTGTTGTTGTGATTTTTGTTGAGGGCTGATTAAAAATATGAAATTCGTCTGCCGTCGGCATTTTTCAATTTTAGCAAAATAAGGCATATTTTCGTTTCTTTTTTTTTTACTTTAAGGTGGACAGGCAACATCTTGTGACGAAATTATTATTGAAAATTTTGGAAGTTCTAAAAAATAAACGTGTTGGTGCTTTTTAAATAAATTTGTTGAATTCAGTGAAAAGGTGTATAAGTTTGATTCTGTTTTAAATACATCTCTGTAGATCACCACGTTTGAATATCCAAAATCAACTGTACTTACCTTTATAAATATTTCAGAATTCGCTTAGAAATCAATTCAGAAGCCCTTTTTAAAGGAATGTTCCCATGAAAATATGCCCCTCGAATATATTCCCGACATGGTATGAGGTTTTTTTTATAAAAAGGTATTTTATTTGCAGGGAAACCTCTACAAACCACCTATTCATAGAGAGAATAGATATATGACAAAAGACCACATGAAGGCGCTAGAAGAACTCAAGCATAAATTATGTCCGTCAAGATAAATTTAAATTTAATTAGCAAAGACACAAACCAAGGTGATTTTTTCTTTCTTTGCTTTTGACTATAAGGTCCACAGATTTGGAAAGTACTCCTCGAGACCTTTCATTTGTGTCCAGCCTCGACAACGCTTCATTTTTAGTTTCTGTTCTGTGGACGCTTTTATCTGCAATTTCCCTAAAATTGAGCGATAATTCTTCAGAAA